TCGTGTCGAATCAGGACGTGGGCGGTCATGTTTCTCAACAACATTCTGCCCTTTATAGCTTTAAGGAATGATTGTCTTTCTGCTATCACTCCTAATGCTTGCTATGGCATCAATTTACACATGCTCGTTAGGTAGTTTATCCGTTGCCATCCTATGCTCTTCTTGCCCTCAACATGTCTGGTAATGATAAATTTTCCCATTCTTCTTTCTTAATTATATTCCTTAGAAATTTCGACTGTCTTCTTTCTGACTCTAAGTAAAAATTTCTTTTTTTTTTCATTTTCCTTATAACTTTGTCGTTGCTCAGATATTTAGTCCATGGTAATCTCAGAATCCTTCCGGAGATACACGTTTCTGTTGCCTGATGTCTATTCTTTACCTGTGAGTAGATTGAAATAGAGGAGAACTGATATTACATAAGAATCCAGTACTCTTTTCTTTTTTACTAACGAAATGTTCTTTCTGTATCAATTGAAATGTACAAACGCTTCTATATCTCGTTTAATGTTTCTTTCTCATAATTATTTCACATATGAATAAGTATCTATCTATCTGTGTATATATATATACATATATATATATATATATATATATATATATATATATATATATATAGATAGATAGATAGATAGATAGATAATGTTGTCTATACATAAAATTCAGTCGAACAGACTGGAACATTTCATTCTGTTCTGCGTATTTAACTCGTGGCCAGCTTTTTTACGCTTTTCCAAGCTAACTCTGGTAACAATCCCACAGGCTCCATTTAAACTTTACTTTTTAATATTCGTAGAAATTTAGGCGTTCTGTCGCAGACACACACACACACTCACGCCTATTCTCTCTCATTCTATCTAATACTATCTCTCTCTTTCATTCTATGTTCAACACTCGATTTTATCAGATTTATTCTTCAGACAATTATGTTGGTATCTTAGCATCGATGCTAGTCAGCGATTAGAAATTTGTGTGGGGAATTGTCATAGCACACTGGTTGTTATCTACTAGTTATATCTCTTTGAGTTTGTCTGTAGGTTTAGCTGTACATTCAGAAGTATTCATGTGCACGTATATCTTATATCAATATGCCTTAAAACCAGTTCTAATTTCTATAAAGTTTTTTATTTCGCGGGTACACGCATTTCAATATGCATCCCTTTACAGACACACAAACACGCACTCACACACACACACACACACACACACAGACACACATACTGTGTGTGCGTCTGTGCATATGTGAAAACGAGATATAAATGATTATATATCAAGTATGAATTTAGGTCAATCTATGACAAAGTGGCTAAAAAGTTTCCGTGTGATGCAGTTTCGTTATTTAGGATTTTCATCAACTACACATGCGCATGAAGAAGAGCCGGCGCTAAATGAAATCGGACAGACTATATAAAAAAAGAAAAAAAAAAGATTTAAAATTAAATTTTGAATGTAAAATTTCTGTGTCCCCATTCCATTACTCGCATGTGTAGTAACATTAACTTGAATATCACTTAAGTTTCATGAAGTCCTAATGGACGAAACTCACCACATCAAGAGGTTTCATTTTTTGTCAAATTATATATATATATATATATATATATATATATATATATATATATATATATATATATATATATATATATATATATTATATATTAGTGTATTTTTGTTTAATTAAAAAAGATTCTCTTTAATTAAAATTTACAGCTCTTAAGAATTTTATTTACTTTTCTGTGTTCTTATAATTTTCTTGTTTCTGGACGTAAATTTGTAGAAATATTCCAAAGGATTTTCTTTGTCTATAGCTCAATTATGTCTCATTTAAATGTACATGGGGACCTACCATTCGCAAGATACTCGTAGATAATACAAATCTTATATCCTCATCTACATGTAAAACAAAGGCAAAAAATAATTGAAGCTTTATAAATAAAAACGAATAAAAGCCAAAACTCAATAATAACAACTTTGAACACGGGAATCTTTAGAATTATTCTACGTACCTCAATGTAGTTTCATGGTTAAGAAAGTATATATCAAACGAGTTTAATTTAAAATTTTAGTTAGAGGGTTTAGATTCTTTGTTAATTTAGGAAAAAATCCTTGAGTATACTTATACCAGGATTTCATGATGAATCTTATTTCTTAAATTAATGATTGAATAAACACATTTTGAGTTCCCCGACGATAAAATATCCATGGAAATTTCCCTAATGCATCGTTAAATATTTGAGCTTAACAGTTTTAAGAAATTGTTGAAATAACAATCGCAAATATGAAAGTAGATCACTAGTTAATTAAGTAAAACGGTACAAATGAAAATGTTCAACTTTGGCATGGTTTTCAATTTCACTGATGACAGTGAATGCTGGACAATCTCCTCAAAAGTGAAGAAAAGACAGAAATGAAGTTCTACGGAAAGATGCTGAGGATACCATGGACTGTACAAGCTAGAAACGACGAAATTTTGGAGAAAATAGAAGCAAAATGAAGATGTAAAAATATTACAAATGATTTGTGTGTCCATGGCTCAGTTATGTCTCATTTAAATGTACATGGGGGCCTACAATTTGCAACATACTCGTAGATAATACAAATCTTATAGCCTCATCTACATGTAAAACAAAGTTAAAAATAATTGAAGCTTTATAAATAAAAACGAATAAAAGCCAAAACTAAATAATAACAATTATGAACACGTGAATCTCTAGGATTATTAAAAAATGTTCAAAATTGGCATGGTTTTCAAATTCAGTGATTACAGTTAATGCTGGATAATCTCCTCAAATGTGAAGAAAAGACAGAAATATAGTTCTACAGAAAGATGATGAGGAAACCATGTACTATACGAGCTGGAAACGACGAAGTTTTGGAGAAAATTAAAACAAAAAGGAAACTTATACTTAACATCCGGAAGAGGCAGTTGAAATTTACTGGGGGCGTAATGAGGAATGAGAGCTTTGAAAAAACTGATCCTCACAAGATTGGTTGAGGGGAAAGACTGACAGTAGAAAGCATCGCGTAACATATATGATTAGCTTGAGTGAATGGATGGTTGAACAGTGTTTGTAGAAATAACAAAAAGAGAAAACTTATTACAAGGGAGAGGAAGATGTCGAGGGTCATGATCACCTACGTTCTGAAGAGACAGAGCACATAAAAGAAAGAAGAAGCAGGTTTTAAACTTATGGCGGACATCCCCACATTAATTTAACTTTAGATTGTGAAACAAGGCTCACGCAAAAAAACGGATAACCAAAAGACATTGTTACACATAAAATATGTATTAACAAGATGAACAATGTCAAACAACGATGTGAAGGGGAGCACGCATTTAAGTAAGAATAGGTTGAAATAAACAAGAGTTGTCTCTCTTTATCTGTTATTTTAGTGTTCCAAAGTTCACTGGAAGAATGTTCATGAGAGTGTCTTGTAATGATTGTTCTTGCAAGATATTGCTGTTTAAAAAGACTTTATGCGAGTGTGTACAAAATATATTCAGCAGGTGAGTCGTGTGTGTGAGTGAGAATGTTGGCGCATAGTTTCATATGTCGTGCATTCGTTTGGCAGCTGAAATCCCACTAATTGGTACTAGAAAAATCTTGGCTTAAATAAGCGAGTATAGGCTCCACATCGTTGCACGGGAAGAATTATTCTTCACGTGCAAACGATCTGATTGTTTGGCATCGACCAATGAGAGGCCGTTCTTGGGGGAGACTTATGAAAGCTTCTGTGATTAGTTTCCCCCAAAAGTGTACAAACTTGACAACTTAAAAATAGAGCGATTACAGAATTGTCGCATTACTGCGATTTGTAAATTACCTATAGTAATGTAGCGGTGATTTATTAACCTATGAATGCTTAGCGTTGTATATGATTTGTATTTTTGTATGTATGTATGTATGTTCATGCGTCATAGATCCGCACAAATTCATAAATATAACATTGCATCTTCTATATTTTCTTTCCTTTTTTTCTTTAATGATCTGTGTTATTCTATTCCGAATTTTTACGAGATCAATAGCACATTATGTACGAAGTATTAGTGAGGCTTACCGTGCATGCTAGCTAAGTATCAAGTAGGAATACGATGATGTACATGTGATAATTACATGGAATTGCTATATTTATATTTAATGAATCATAAATCTCTCATATAGGAAGAAAATGAGTAACTACAGACACCAATGTTCGAGCATGACACTCTGGACTTATGAATATATGTTTTCCCCCAGTTGTATAAAGAGCAATGTCAAGCTACAAACTGCAGTGATTACTGAGTGACTATTGTGTGGAACTATCCAGTCGAATTAGTGTAAAATGTTGTGCGTCGATTATTTCGGTTTTGATTTAGGATTTAACGAGCCGCGTTACTAACAAGGTATTCCCAGAAATGTTCTTTGTTCTTGATAAGTATTTATTTGCAGTTGTAATTAAATACTGTTTTATTTTAACATTGGAGTCTTGAGTTATAGTTGCATATTAACGACCACTATACGTCACAAAAGAATCTGAAGTTAATGACTGAATAATGCCTTTGGTAGCCTTATAGCTATAAAATACCTGTAGTAATTAATCATTTTTCGTCAAATTAATTGATCGTATCAGCTTTACAAATGACAATATGTAAGTATACAGGTCATTATTTAACGTAAAACTAGATTTCAGATTAAAAGATTTTAAATTGAAAAGTTTTTTTATTTCAGTTCAGCAGACGTGAAAACAGGAATGTTATATGTCTGTCTGTTTTCTCTCGAAAACCAACAACAGCTCTGATATGGCGTTGCCGTCTTTTCTCGCTATCACATCATAATTTATGGGATAACATATGGGCTAAATAATAAGAAACTAAGAAAAAATCTGGATTATAATATGGTGTTTCTAACTTGAACGTCATTTTTATCCATAGATGAGTAATCTGGGGAATATACTGGTTTGAGGATGGTAATTTGCGGGAAACATTTATCTTAATCCCTTATAATATATCATTTCTATACAAGGAAATGCATATCTATCTATCTATCTATCTATCTATCTATCTATCTATCTATCTATCTATCTATCTATCTATTTATGTCAGCCTGTTCATTATTTATTTCAATCTGTTTATATATCTCTCTTTATATATATATATATATATATATATATATATATATATATATATATATAGCTAACTAGCTATCCAGTTATCTATTATTGGGTTTCCAATAGAATGGGATGTAAGATTTTTTAAATAATTTTTACAATAATATTCTATAAGTAAATGTTTTTCGTAAAAATTCACTGAACATTTAAGAAGGAGTATACTATCTGATCTGAATCATATACTAACGTAAACGAAGCAGACCAGATCAGTATATTTCGAGAATCAGGAAACATATGTGTTAAAAAGCAGTATTCAGGCTTTGTTTGATCAGGAGGTCCTAAGTGGCCGAAAGTTCAAGTCATTGCATATATATATATATATATATATATATATATATATATATATATATATATATATATATATATATATATATATATATCATCAACGTCATTTAGACAGCTTGGAAGGAATAGTATAAAAATAATTACACACACCATGTTATTATTGTTCGAATGAAGATATTCAGCCTATATGCATACATGTATACACAAACTCACACACATATTATATTGAAAAAGAGAGAGAGCTAGAAGGAGAGAGAGAGAGAGAGAGAGAGAGAGAATGATCGGTTGAGATTCTATGTCAAAATGTCCATAAATCTCGCGACTGAGCAAACAATCGATGTGATGGCTTGATGACTGATTGTGATAGAACACGCCATTTGTATCATTTTTTTTCTTTCTACGCATCTTTGCATTTATGCAATACAAAGCAAGTTTAGAAAATAAAATATGAACGTACGTCGTAAATTTTTTTACACAGGATCCTTATGATTATCTTTCGACTTACGTTTCTTTAAATGTGATTTTACAGGAGTTTCTACTTGTACTGTTCTTCTGATTAAATAGTTCTGCATTTACCTCCCCCCCTCTCTCTCTCTCTCTCTCTCTCTGGTTTTATTTGATACGCGCTTCTTTCTATTTTAGTTACTTTACCTTTGTGTAAATCTTTGTCTTTTAAATATCTTTTTTTGTTCAGTTTGCATTTCTCTATTTTTATTATCCTCAAGTCCGTTGTTTGTTTGTTTCTTTTCCTTTTAAGATTTTCCGCTTTCTTTTTCTTGTTTGATTTTTTTCTCTCTCATAATCCTCTTTCTCCTTACGTTTCTTTAGAAGTGATTTCACACGCGTTTACATTTTTATACATTTTCTGATTAAATATTTCTTTATTTATCTGGTTTTATTTGATTTTCTATTCTCTCTTAACTGTTGCTTCCACGATTTAGAACCTCACTCTCTTTTTAATATATTTTCTTGTTAACTTTTCATTTATCTTTGTTAATTTTTTCAGGTTCATTTTTCTTTCTTTATCTTCACTGCTTTACGTTCTTCTCTCTTTTCCACATTTGTTTCTTTTTTCTCACATTTTCTTTTCTTTTACTATTCACTTCCGCCTACATTTTGTTTCTGTCCTTCTTCTTTTCGTTTTATTTAATTTTCCTTTTATATGTTTCCTTTTCACTCTGTCGTTTTCCTATATTCCTTCTCTTTATTCTCTCGTTTTGCTCCCTTTTTTCTCCCTTTTTCTCAATTTCTATCGCTTTCACTCCATATCTTTCTTACTTTGTTCTGTCTTTCATTCTTTCTTTCTTTATTTATTTATTTCTTCTTTTTTTTTTCTTTCTTTCTTTCTTTCTTTCTTTCTTTCTTTCTTTCTTTCTTTCTTTCATTCATTCTTCTTTCTTTCTTTCTTTCTCCTCGGGAAATCATTTTTTTCTTTCGTTCTTTATATTCCTAAATCTTTTTTTGTTTATATGCATATTTCATATTTTAATTATTTATTAAATCAGAAATTTTCATTGATTCCTTATTTTCAATGATGATTTTTATTCATTTTTATTTTCTCTCATCCATTTTTCCCTAATCGTACACATTTGTGTTACACATTTTTTGATATCTTTGTATTTAAAATATAATTTTAAGTTTATTACATGATAATATTTCCGTTTGCTTTCATGTGAATGAATGTCGCAACTGTTTGTAGCAGGGTTTGTGAGAAGTCAAATATTTCTAAGATCTGCACGGCATAGGATGTTGTGGAGAACAATGATTTCCCACATCTTGAAGGAACACGGAATATAGAAGATGACTCGTTCGTTTACTACATGTCGTCTTTTCTTGTCGATTTTGGCGTTTCATTTCCCAACTATTCTTGTTTTCTATGTGATCAGTGAGAGTTAAATCTGTTAAGTCTTCTTTCGTCATAATGTGCTATCAACATCTCATTAGTCGCTTTCTGATTTATAGCAGCGGTAACTTTGCATGACCTATTCTCTTGAAAACATTCTCGTTTCTTTATAGGCTTGTCCATGTTATTCCCAAATGTTCGCTGATAGAACATTAATTTATACTTCATTGTTAAAGGAATTGACAATAATTCACTGACATATACGAAATCAAATATTTAGTAGCAGTCCAATACTGTTTCCTTTGTCTAAAGACTTTAATCATTTAGTCAGTTTTCGAAAATCATATTCCACTATTTTTCGACGCCTTTTTTGCAGCATATCTTCCGTTGTCTTCTACTATATTACTTGTTGTAACGGCCTGATTGTGACGTCAATGATATGTAACTAATACATTATTATCTCTCGTTACAACCGAACTTCATTAGTAATTATTTTCTTTTTGGATTCATTGTCGACTTTGGCGAATGTGATTTTAAATTGTTTTTCTTCAGAATATTCCATAAGCAGATTGATTTAGGTTTTTTACCGTATGATGTTTAAGCCCCATACACCAGTAATACATCTTGGAAAGTCTCAAGTTTTCATAGAAATATATTGCTGCATAGTTTGTAATAGACCAGATGCGGAAAAAAACACATATGCTTTTATTAATTCTATTTCTCTGTATTCTCACCCAGTTCAATTTCTTGAGTATTTGTAGATCCTTTCAAAGTAGATCAATTTTTCCTAATATTTCAAGTATTTCTTCGTTTTGAAATTTTTGGAAATAGGTATAGATATTTCTGCATTAACATTGTTCACCTAATGGCAAAACTTTGGTCATGTATGGATAGCATTTCTTGTGCTAGTGTCTACACCATATCTACAGATGTTTTGATTGTGCACTTGAATGACACTTCAGGGAAAAGCTGTTCAAAAATGTCAATGAGATAATAGTGGCAAATACACAGGCATCGGTTCTTCTAGTTGGTAAAACCAAGCAGACAATATGAACAAACGATGTCATACTATTTGAAAAGTATATCTTAAGGGTGGAAAAAGGTGAAACCAACCGTGGAAAATCAGAAGAAAACACAAGAACCAGCGATCACAATCTCAGACCTTCATTCCACATATCAACTTTGTCTGTTATACGTGCAGGAGAGTGTGTCATACAAGGATTGGACTGTTATGCTACTCCAGATGCTGCTCGCAAAAGAACATATTTTTCTGCTAAACAGGGCGCTATCATTACCACGCGAGTTAATGGATCCTTACTACACCAAAAGAATGCTAGGAGGGCACATTTTTTTAATTATTAACCTCAAGCATAGTTACATTGCAACTAGTACGCAGGGGATTATAGAGCATGAAAGTGAGAGAAAAGACTAGGAATAGATGGGGATTGAGGAAAGTATAAAAGATGAACGGGATTCAAGAAGGTGGAAGATGTCGTCTTACGTTGCATTTAAATTTTAGAACATTGAAGGGAGTTCCACTAGCGGGAAGTGTGAGAAAAGAAAAAGTTGGAGCAGAAATATTTCAACAGTAAAAGTGTGGGACCTTGATGCCAATTTGGTATCACGCTTAAATTCCTGTAGGGAAAAACTCTAGTCAGAGAAAATGCCATGAAAATATTTCTATAAAAGACAGAGATAAATCACGTCACATCTGAGTGGCTGAAGTAGAGATGCCAAACCAGGATCGATTACCATGCAGATCCTTCATTGGATTTTGTCAAGAACGTCAAGATTAATACTAGGAGCACTAGAACAGATATAGCAAGGATATTCAATGCACGGACTTTGTAAATGTGCAAGATGGAGAAAAAAGGGGTCCGACATTCAGTGACCATATATTGCTTTTCTCTGGTCGCATGTAATTCTACAGTCTGAAGCAGCTAATCTATTAGAGGTTTCACTTCTGGAGTTATTATGTCTTCCCAGGTACTCATTTGGTTCATTTTCTCATGTTTCGTTCTTCTGCTTAATTTGGCTTGAAACAACGTCGAAGTAGGTGTCATAACCCATCACCCGTTTTGAAAAGATTCATGCATAAACAAGTATACGGAAGTCTCTCCACCATGAATAGAGATTATTCGTGTCAGACAACCTTGGTATACGGATTTCCTATCAAATATTGTCTTTCTTTTCAACGTAGATGCTTTTATCCATAATATTCTCCACGAGACAACCGGAATTTGAAATTAGAGCCTTACATGTTTATACTATTTGCATTAAGACAATTTTCCTCAATGTTGTTGTTATTACCACTGTTGTAATTTTGGCTAGTCCTCGTCGCCAAATTGTCTTAAATTTTATCTCATCCTCGTCGCCAAAATGTTGTAACATAGGCAAGGTTACTGAACAGAATAATCAAACAAAGGTTGTTAATGAAAGGTAAATCTTAGGACAAGAACAACGCATATAAGATTCGCCAGCGGTACGTAGAAGAAATAGCCAACTGCTAGAAGTGAGTCAAGTGAATTCTACAATAAATCTCCAACTGCTGGATATATGCCAACTGCCCCACGCGGCCAGATTGGCACAAGGCAAAATTTAATGTGGGGAATCCGTAGGCTCGGCCAAAAGTTCCTCATGGACCCCGTATAAATCTGGGCCGGATAGCGTTTTTCCGGAAACGAGATTCTGCCCTTCGACATAGCCCCGGAGGCAAAGAGTTTGACCAGCACAGCTGGAGACGAATCTCCAACCGCAAATCACCATACAGTATTTACTAGTGTATTTATGTTAATGGGGACATGAGCGTTATCGTCCGTACGTATGCTTCAACAATCATATTTCGACAGTTATGTCTTTTTCAAGATGCCAGTCGATGCGGGTAACATTCACAAATTTGAAACTCAACCCTTTCTTACATAAACGAGATGAGATGGTTTTCGTTCCACTGTCTCTCTCTAAGGATATATCATTTTGTTATATCGTTTTTTTTGTTGTTTTTTTTTTTGGCTCTACTGCTCATGCATTTCTCTCGCAGTTTCCGCTGAGTTCGAGTATGTACAACAATTACTATTTGACTCAAAACAAGAAAAAAGATTTATTTATAATAGTCTAGTAGCGAAATATCAGAAACATTTTGAGAATAACAAATAAATGAGGATATTAAGCCAAATGTGAATAAAATATGTAATAACTATTCTTCATCTCAGGAATAAAGACAGAAATTTCTTCTCAAAACCTACTTTTAATTAACATATGGAATACTACGATTTGAGAAGGAAGTTATTTTGCTGTACAGTTATTATTCATTTTTATATCCATTAACATCTGGAATCATACATTACGATTTTACCTATGCGTATATACAAATTTACACACAGAGACTCACACACAAATACATATATATATATATATATATATATATATATATATATATATATATATATATATATATATATATATATATATATATATATATTTATCTATATCTCTCTCTCTCTCTATATATATATATATATATATATATATATATATATATATATATATGTGTGTGTGTGTGTGTGTGTGATATGGTAGAGATATTTCAATTATAAAGGGGAATACATTAGTGACAATGCTGCCTTCAAGCTTATGTTAATATTATGTGAGAGGTCATTCTAGCAGATATATATGAGTTATTTCTGCCGCACGATATATATATATATATATATATATATATATATATATATATATATATGTGTGTGTGTGTATGTATGTGTGTATGTGTTTGTGCGTGTGTGTGTCTTCCTTTGTTTGTGCGTGTATGTGTATATATATGTCTTTGTGTGTTTTCAGTCTAATAGTGATTCATGTATGTTTGCGAATAATTAGTGTCTGATTCATGTGTTCCAACACGTTTTGTTGATCGTTTAAATAGTGAGTATATAGTGTCTATATATATGTGTGTTTATGTGTGTATGTGTGTATGCGTATGTGTGTGTGTTGGTCAGTCTAATAGAGAT